CAACTAAAAATGTTTAATGTGTCCCGCGCGCTTATACGACATTATGTAGTTGCCAGCGCCGTAAAACACTAACAAAAAATAAAGAAGGATAAAAGCTCCTTTTCCATTCATGGGTGTACGTAGCTAGCGAGCTTCTCTCTTGACTTCAGCATTATTTAATCCGTGAAGCTTTATTATTACGACCTGCTGCCCACTGTGAATGTTTTTAAACGTACATGAAAGGCATTGATCCCCCCCCCCACCCCCACACACACACTAAGAAAAAAGAAAGGAAACTTGAACACCCAAGAAAGAAAATTGAACACCCCCCCCCCCCCCCACACACACACACAAAGAAATTTATTTTTTTTAAATAAGAAAAGAAAATTCCCAAAGAGCTAGGTTTTATGTTGAAGTACTTTAGAGAGGATTTCAAAATGTTGTAACGTTTGGGGGGGGCGGTTGAAGGGGGGGTGTTCTCTTCTTTTTGGTGCTCCCACTTGACACTTCCTTTCCCTGAGGACAGCTCATAATAGAACGCTGCCTTTGGGATTCTGAAATCGGACACTGGTACGACACGGCGAGAGCAGTGGCGTCGGTGGTCAAGTGGTTGGGGGGCTCACTACGGCTGGGATCGGTCGATCAGGTCAATCGTCGAACTATGTCGCCTACGGGGGTGCCCACTATGGCTGGATCGGGCCGATCTCCTGACTCGATCGCCTGACACTGAAAACAAACACGTTTGTTTTTGAGGCGATCCGAGTCTGGCGATACAAACGTGTTTGTTTTCAGTTTCAGGCGAACGAGTTGGGCGATCGGCGCGATCATGCCATAGGGCGAAAACATAGAGAACGCCGATTTCGGAGACTGACTCAGTAAGCGCCGATAGGTATAAAAATTCCCTAATGATTTCCAACTTGCCCCACATAGAGCTGGCCGACTGCAGGCGGCTTTAAACTCGGATCGGAGTTGTCGGCTTTATCGGAATCCAAACTACATTCTTATTACGCCGAAAAACAGGGAAGGGCGTCACGCTGTCAACTCACCACCGCAGTGCTTACTTGCCGTATTTCCATTTTTTAACAGGGAAAATGAGACTTCTTCTTTAACTCACATTTTGTTATGAACTGTTTTCACTGTTATTAAAAATGGAGGTACGACAAGAAAGCACCGAGGTTGCGAACTCTCAATGCCGTCTCGCCGTCGCCAACTCGGGTTCAGCGGTTTTTGTAACGTTACCCGACTGGACTGGGGACAATTTTAAATGGTCATTTCAGAGCTGGTGCTTCACGGTAGACAAAAACTAATTACATTTTTGAAATCAACATCATCAAAATAGGGTGGACACCGAGCAGAATTGCATTTTAAGCAATATTTAAGAAAATTAGAGTTTTTTCCCCCAAAATATTATGCTTCATGAATTCCCAGCTGTGTTGTGGTGTAATTAATTTTAATTTTTTTCTTAGATCCAGAATCTAGATCTAGATATCTCGGCTTTACTGTGTCAGTAGAGTGTGATTTCGAAGAGACGAGGCCTGTGTAGCTTTTCGTTGTGCGTCTAGAGATCTGCTTATCTGGCTGTGTCGTGTCTTGTCAAAATGGATGTCGATTTACAATAATAATAATAATAATAATAATAATAATAATAATAATAATAATAATAATAATAATAATAATAATAATAATAATAATAATAATAATAATAATAATAATAAGACTCAGATGTTGCATGTCTTAAGGGTTAGGGGAGTAATGTGATCCCTCTTCTTTTTCTTTAGTACAAGCCTACCAGCATGATTTTGGAAACGTTGTAACTTGTGAAGAGTGGTATTTGGTAAGTTAGCTAGTAAAGCATTGCAATAATCGATGCGTGAAAACAAGAAAGATGACACGAGCGTTTTCAACGAGTGTTCATTCAAAAACATAGAGATATGACCAATTATACGTAATTCACAAAATAAAATGGTACATAAATAATTGATATGATGTTCCATTGACAATTTTGAATCAAAATACACTCCCAGATTTTCTTTCTATATCAGTAAAATACAGTTTTTCATTTTCAGTACAGATATGATCAATGTCTACGAGGATATGGCTTTTCTTTGGGTTACATAAAAGAATTTCAGTTCTATTTTCATTAAGCTGGAGTTAATTATCAATCATCCACTTTTTTATGACATCAATGCACAGACCCATGGTAGTAAGCAGGGTTTTTTAAACATCTGATGGTGGAACAGATTTATATAACTGTGTGTCGTCAGCGTACATGTGATAATTCATATTGCGCTCTCTGATCACAGCTCCAAGCGGCTGCGTATATAACGTATACAAGATTGGATCCAATACTGAACCTTGAGGCACTCCAAAGCCTAGTGTAAAAAAAATGACGAAAGAGAGTCGTGTACAACCACAGATTGTGTACGGCCAATCAGGTAGGACCTGAACCAGTCAGGAACCCTGCCAGACAGGGCAAACGTGTTGAACAATCGTTCAATAAGAATAGTGTGATCTATAGTGTCAAAGGCAGCAAGAAGATAAAGAATTGATATTTTGTTCTCATCCGCCTCACACAAGAGGTCGTTATATATTTTCAATTGGGGCTCTCGTGGCCTAGAGGTTTAGGTGTTGGCCTCTCATTTAAAATGTCCCGGGTTCGAATCTGGGTAGCGACTGAAAAAAATTCTTCTCTAAATTTGTCTCCTTTCACCTCATTTCCTGCTCTCTAGCAATGTTCTGTCGTCTGTTTTCGTTTCCTCTTTCTGCCCCCACCCCCTCACCTCCTTTGCCCCTTCCTCTGGGCTCCTGATTCTTTCTGCAGCCTGTCTACTGCTACTCCTTGGTTTCTTTCTTACTGCTGTCTTTCAGCCACCCCCCTGATCTTCTGGTAGGAAAGATCTACACCTAGCCTTCTCGGACAAGGGCGAAAAAATCTCGGAGGGCCCATGTGCAAGTTGCGCACGTGTAACTTGGGATCCCTTGGTGGTCTAAAATCGATAAGAGTAGGCTTCGGCCGCCACCCGGGCAAAATTCAAAATTTCCTACCAACTGAAAATATTAGGTGTGTCCCGCGCGCTCATATGACCTTATGCAGTTGCGAGCGCCGTAAAACACTTACAAAAACAAAAATATATTTTCAATAGCTCACAGTTTCTGTGTTATGAAATTGCCGATAGGCAGATTGTTATAATTCATATAAATTGTTTTCTTTTAAATGATTCTTCAATTGAACCAAAACAACTTTCTCCTTTATTTTTGATGAAAAGGGAGGGTTGGAGACAGGTCTGAAATTCTTGAGCTCCTCGGGGGAAAGATTTGATTTTTTGAGAAGGGGAATAACTAAAGCATGCTTAAAGAGTGATGGTACTACTCCAGACTGAAGAGACTCATTAATGATGGAAGTTATAAATCCAATGACACTATCAGGATGTGTGATGAGCAGTGTGTTGTTGGAACGGGAACAAGACTACATGTTTTATGGGGTGATGACATTATGATTGATCTTACATCTTCTTGTGTTACACGTACAAATTCATTAAAGATTACCCCCGAGAGTGTTTCAAAACATGGTAGTTTATGGGCAGTCATGTCAATTTTTTTTCCTAATCGTGGATATCTTGTCTCTAAAATATTTACCAATAACATCAGGAATGTCACTTTTAGGTACATTCGTGGAAAACTTGTTGCTGGCCGGATCTTTCTTACCAGACAACTGATTTGTTATACAAAATAACGCTTTAGAGGTGGTACATTCATTCATTTTTCCGTTATAATACATGAATTTGGCATATGTTATTAACGATTTCACAGTGTTGTTACAGTGTCTATAATATAAATGTCCTCATGAACAATCTGAGTCACCCCTCCGCTCCCTACGAGCTGTAATACATTAAACACCACCCTGCCCCCATATTCTGTGCAAGCTTGTAGATGACACCGAGACGCCTTCACGTGAGTCTCAAAAAATACTCACCCGTCTGTTGAACTGTGCATGTCTTACCCTTGAGGTTCGGAGTTCCAGGGTGGGCACAAGCAGCCCCCGTTTGTTTACGTGGGGGACATCACTGACACGAACTCTAAATACAGTGGCGTCTCAAAGAAACGTGAAAACGTAAATCGCCCAATCACTTTGTTAAGCCTTCCACTACCCACTCATGCAGCACATCAGTTTAAAGCTGAATAAATTCAGCATCATCTGGCATATTAATATTTCCTCTATATTAAGACACTATCGAGATATGGTCTTTCAACACCGACCTTTAAAACCAGGCTTGATAAAATCGTGAAAAAATAAAGAAACTTAAAATCTTCTTGGAGTGTGTATTTGAGGAGCATTAATATTAATAGAATGGACATACATTGCATATTCAATGACTGGAGCATTTTGTCTTTTTAATTAACAATTATTCTTTTTGCAATACATGTAGTTTCCATCAGAGCGGCAAACCAAGAAATCACAAATACCACTCAAAATTTGGACTTAATGTTAAATGTGCTCATTGTTATTTTGCTTAAGATCAAGAGCCTTTAGTTTTTTGTAGGGCACGAACCGTTTGAGCATCATCTCTACTACTTTTTGGACATAATTAATTATTTGACATTTTATCCCAAATGTGGCAGACTCTCTCTGTTTTCAAATCTGTTTGAAAATATCATCAGAAAATGCTGTTCATTGTAGAGACAATAATATTCTCGATTTATTTGAAATTCAACACAGGTCCATTCCACCAATGTTTGATGCGCGAACACAGTTTTGCGTTTCTTTGATTTCGCACAATTTTGCCAAGCCTGATTTTTTCAGGTTAATTTTGAGTGACCAAATCTCTCGTGCCTCTTAACATATATGAAATATTAGTGTGTCACATGATGCAGATTTTATTGAGCTTTAAACTGGTATGCTGTATGAGTTGGTAGTGCAAGGCCGTAACACGATGATTGAATGATTTCATTTTCAAGTTTGTTTTGAGCACCACTTTATAACTAACTAACCTGTTTGTGCCCCATAGAGCAGTCTGACCCACCTACAATGGTTCTCCAACTGCTTCCGTTCCTGTTTTGTGAGCCCCAGGTCATACACAACCATAACAAAGTTAGGAAGCACAGGGAACACTTTCTCGTGAAAGTTTTTTAACATGGCCTGAAAGAGAAAAAACAAGAATACTCAGGAAACAGAAGGAGGAAGGACATTAAGGCACCTGAGGTCTATTTTGGCTATTACAGGGCCTAGAGTGCCCATATTTGATGTGGGACATCGTGTGTTATTGGGGATTTTAAATCAGTAGTTCAAAAAGTACATTGTGAATTGGTTGCTATGGAAACGGCGGCCATATTGGATTTTGTATACCTTTTTCTATCCCATTTTATTCCTTTATTTATGAACCGATTTACTTCTAATTTGGCATGCCAACAGTAAATATGTAGTTCTTACATTTGGCTTGTTGAATTTTTAATATATGCTTTAGTTTTTATTTTATGACACTTACAATTGGTATGTTTAAAAAAAAGCGAAAAAAATGGAAAATTCATGCTTACTAAGCCCATAAATCAAAAACTACCCCATTAATAAAAAATTCAACAAGCCAAAATTTAGAACTAGGTGTTGTTGATATCCTGTGAAAGTTACATTGAAATTGAACCATAAACAGAGCAGAAAAATGGGATAATGCGTGAAAAAATAGAATTGTGAGAAAACAGCCGATACAGGTAAGAAAAGGCTAGAAAACATGTGCTTTCGAAGAAAAACCTGACATCAAAACACAACTTTAGGGTGTAGCAAGGCTTACATACGTTTCTGGATATTGTTCAGGAAATGTCCAGGTACTATGATATGTAATAAACCCAATTTGCAAAATTTGACCCCAAGACACGATTTCTAGGTGCCCCACCAGCCCTTAATGTGCGGTGGGCCGACAAAACGAGTTAATTCTCGTCGTAATCCCCAGAGATAAAACAGGGGGCTCTCGTGGCCTAGAGGTTAAGGTGTTGGCCTCTCATTCAAAGGTCCCGGGTTCGATTCCAGGTAGCGACAAAAAATTTTTCTTCTCTAAAATTGTCTCCTTTCACCTCCTTTCCTGATCTCTAACAATGTTCTGTTGTCTGCTTTCATTTCCACTTTCTGCCCCCACCCCCTCACCTCCTTTGCCTCCTCCTCTGGGCTCCTGACTCTTTCTGCAGCCTTTCTACTGCTACTCCTTGGCTCCTCCTAACTGCTGTCTTTCTGCCACACCCCTGATCTTCTGGTAGGAAAGATCTACACCTAGCCTTCTCGGACAAGGGCGAAAAATCTCGGAGGGCCCATGTGCAAGTTGCGCACGTTAAAGATCCCTTGGTGGTCTAAAATCGATAAGAGTAGGCAAAATTCAAAATTTCCTACCAACGAAAAAGTTAGGTGTGTCCCGCGCGCTCATATGACCTTATGCAGTTGCGAGCGCCGTAAAACCCTATACTAAACAAAAACAAACAGAGATAAAACAATCGGGGGGGGGGGGGGGGGGGAGGGGTGAAGATACATGAATAGATGAAGGGGTAAGGAAGAGAAAATGGGAAACAAATAAAGTAACAGGAAAGGAACATGGGTTATGTGGTGAGGTAAAGAAAGAGAAAGAAGAATAACAGAAAAAGTTACATTGTTCTGAGAAAAAAAAGAGGGGAAAATAAAAAGAAAGAATAAGTTGTGCAATCAAAGACAGGGAAGTGACATAATTATACGAAAATAAATGCTGTATTTTTGTTTAGTTTCAGTGAGGGTTTCACGGCACTTGCAACACAATTAGGTCATATAAGTACCGAGGATTAGAAGTGGTACAAGGGAGTAACATGCACAAAACAAAAAAGGGAGGAGAGATCAGGACGATAGATATTTGATTGGAAAGAAGGAACAAACCACACCACAGCATCCGCTATTCGCCTGCTATCATAAAGATTTTAAAAATCCACTCCACCTGAGATTCCAAATAGTGATTGGATGAAATTCCACTGATAATGATGACGTCATGGTTGCCATTCACTTTATCTCGCATCTGTTGCATTATGTCTCTGTAGTTTTCGGGCACCGGCATGTGGTCTAGAACACTCAGACTTTTTATTCGGTCCGTCAATGACACAGGAAGTGCAGTCTGCAGGCATTTTTTACTGTCTGGCTTGCAAGTGTCGTTGTAGTTGGCTATTTTTAGCTCGTTGCAGCTCTTGAAAGACACCGGGTGGTTCTTTGTGGTTTCAGCGTCTTTGAGTTTGATACTGAGAGAATCGGTTAAGAGGTTCATGGTGTTGATGGAGAGCTGGTTTTTAGGAACCAGTTCTGTTATTTTGTAGGCCGATGCTGTTCCTAAGGACTGGTTGGACAGTGTGTTTAAGCGAAGCATCAGTTTCTGTGGATGAAGTGGGGTACAGTGGTAAACATTCAGTTAGTTGGAAAGATGAATTGTCAACTTGCAGCAGCAGCTACAACAACAGCAGCAGCTGCAACAACAGCAACAACAACAACAACAACAACAACAACACCAACCAGGATCCCGAGGCCTAGAGGTTTAGGTGTTCGCCATTCATTCAAAGGTCCCGGGTTCGAATCCGGGTAGCGACGGAAAAATTTTCTTCTCTAAAATTGTCTCCTTTCACCTCTTTTCCTGCTCTCTACAAATGTTCTGTCGTCTGCTTTCGTCTCCTCTTTCTGCCCTCAGCCCCCCACCTCCTTCGCCCCCTTTTTTGGACTCATAACTCTTTCTGCAGCCTTTCTACCCTACTCAATAGCTTTTCAAACTGCTGTCTTTCAGCCACATCCCTGATCTTCTGGTTGAAAAAACAACGACAAGGGCGAAAAATCTCGGAGGACCCGTGTGCAAGTTACGCATGACGACTTGAAAGATCCCTTGGTGTTCAAAAACCGATAAGAGTAGGCTTCGGCAGCCACCCGGGCAAAATTCAAAATTACCTACAAACTGACAATGTTAAATGTATCCCGCGCGCTCATAGGACCTTACGCAGTTGCGAGCGCCATAAAACACTTACACCCCCCCCCCCCCCGAAAAACACACAAAAAACAAACAAACAAACAAAAAACAAAACCAAACAACAACAACAGCAACAATAGCAAACACAACATGAACATAACTCGATCTGCTCACTGCCTAGCTTTTGGAAATGTGACGTTAAAAACTTGGCTCATCACAAAAGTCAAGCTTTCTCGAATGTATTTGAGCCACAACGGTGTGGAATCAGGCGCTCGTCAAATTTTGGGAATATGGAGTTATTGGTATCATCTTAGCGCCGGTTCATTAAATTTACTTTGCTTTTGATTTTCACCCCGCCCCCCCCCCCCACCCCCCACCCCCACACACACACACACTAATCTGTCTTAAATAGACGTCGGGATATTTGCAATTTAAGGGGGTAGGGTATGTTTGGTGTCAGGGGTAAAATGAACGATAAAATGGTCACTAAAGCTTGACAGTCCTTAAAGCTACACATTGATATATGTGTTTTTGATCAAAGTTAATAAGTTAAAATACACACATTTCAAATATAGATATATGTAGATTGATAAATGAGCTTAAGAGGTGTTGGGCAATAAAAGAGGGGAAAAAATTCAATTGAACAAAAATTGCCCTAAACGAGAAAAAATGCCGGTTTCTCCGTTTTCATTATTTTGACGAGCGGTTGATTTCACCACTAAACCTCACACATTATCAACGGCTGAGCATACGAAGTGGCTATATCCACTTTTAACAGTTTAGAGAAAAACGAGTTTGAAATTTTGACGATATTGAAATTTGTGTAGCATAGTAAAAGTCTCGATACCAAGGTAAGTTACCTCGTAGATAGTTACCAAAGATCGCACATAACAAGATAGTTCAATTTAAAAAAAATTGCCCTCAAAATCAGATGGCGCCCTCTTCGAAAAAGTGCAGACTGTGTAAACAAAGTTACCCTACTTGTTGGAAAAACAATAAAAGCGAAACTAACAAACTGTCCTATTCCTATTCATCTTCTAGAGAAAAGAAAGAGAACTTCAAAACAATGACTGCTGTGCCACCTGAACCAATGCGCGGACTTCCGTGGACACTTTTTAGGCCGAGTGAACTATCTTGCTATAAACGATCTTTGTAGTTACAGAGGTAAAAAAAAAAACCCCTTAAAATCTCACTACCCATATCGATTACTCAATTTCGTTTCGACCAAAAGTGGACATAGTCACTTTTTGCGTTCAGCCATTAACAATGACAATGACAATGACAATCTTTATTCATCTCGCAGGGCGCTCCGTAAAGATTCTCTCTCTCTCTCTCTCTCTCTCTCTCTCTCTCTCTATCTATCTCCCTCTCTCTCTCTCTCTCTCTCTCTCTCTCTCTCTCTCTCTCTCTCTCTCTCTCTCTCTCTCTCTCTCTCTCTTATTTGTAGCACGGTGTGTTCAGTAACTATACTGCAGTTGGTATGAAAGTTTTTATTCTCGACTAGGCACTGTCATAGCCACCAGTCCTCGTTCTCAAGAACAACTTTGTGACTTCGGCGTGCACCATGGGCCGTAAATAGAAGGAAAAACGTCATTAGATGAGAGGCGTTACAAGAGAGTAACAAACACAAAGAGAACGGGAGATCAGGGCAATAGATGTTATGTTTGATAGGAAAGAAGGAGCAAACCCCACCAGAGCACCCGCCAACCACCCACGTTTGTTTGTTTGTTTGTTTGTTTGAGTAAAGAGAAGCACATGGACACAACAATGGTCATTTAGTGCTGGGAAAAGGTCACACAGGCAAACATACAGACAGACAGACAGATAGACAGACAGACAGACAGACAGACAGACAGACAGACAGACAGACAGACAGACAGATAGACAGACAGACAGTGAGAAACAACACAGGAGAAAGTAAAGAAGTAGGGCCTACCATTGAAACCCTCTAACCACCCACGCTCTTTATTTGGATCCAAGGGGAGTTAATAAATGGTTCCCTCTATGGCTAACTGGAATAACGTCAGAGTACATCAGTTCGTTCATCGTATTTTACTGCAAGTTTTTGTTTTGTTTTTGTAAAGTGTTTTACGGCGCTCGCAACTGCATAGGTCATATGAGCGCGCAGGACACACGTAATATTTTCAGTTGGTAGGAAATTTTGAATTTTGCCCGGGTGGCGGCCGAAGCCTACTCTTATCGATTTTAGACCACCAAGGAATCTTTAACGTGCGCAACTTGCACACAGGCCCTCCGAGATTTTTTCGCCCTTGTCCGAGAAGGCTAGGTGTAGATCTTTCCTACCAGAAGATCAGGGGTGTGGCTGAAAGACAGCAGTAAGAAGAAGAAAATGAGTAGCAGTAGAAAGGCTGCAGAAAGAATCAGGAGCCCAGAGGAGGGGGCAAAGGAGGTGAACGGGTGGGGGGCAGAAAGAGGAGACGAAAGCAGACGACAGAACATTGCTAGAGAGTAGGAAAGGAGGTGAAAGGAGACAAATTTAGAGAAGAAAAATTTTTGTTCGCTACCCGGATTCGAACCCGGGACCTTTGAATGAGAGGCCAACACCTTAACCTCTAGGCCACGAGAGCCCCCCCCCCCCCCCCTGCAAGTTTTGCAACACTTGCTACACGATTCGGTCATATAATTGCCGAAGATTAGAGGTGTTACAAGAGAGAAACAAACACAAAGAAGGAGATATAAAAAAAAACGGTAGTTGTTTATTAAATAGAAAGAAGGAGGGAGGAGAGATAAGGACGAGAGAAGTTTGATAGGGAAGGAGGAGCAAATCACACCAGAGCACCTGCCGACCACCCACATGCACAGTCAAGGACATCATCTATAAAACCAATCTTGTTTGTTTGTTTTGTTTTCGATTGTTGGAATAAAGAGAAGTACATTGACGCAATAATAGTCATTGAGTGCTAGGAAAAAGTGAGACAGACAGACAGAAATATCAGAGAGAATGTTAAGAAGTAGGACCTACCAGTGGTGCCCTCCAACCACCCACAAAATCAGTCTAAGGCACAAGATAACAATCAGCTCGCGCATGCGCAGACGACTGGACATACCTGAACGATGGTGTTGCTGTTTTGGAAAGTCGTTCCCAGCATGATGAACGTAATTACGCTCCCCAGGAAACAGAAGACTGCGATAGTCTTGGGATGGAGAGAAGGAGAAAAAATAAAAAATAAAAAATGAATTACATTTTCATTGATCCCAAAAGGGCAGTTTCGGTTACAATGAATGGCAGACATACACACATGAATACATAAGGGAGCTTGCGGGTCTGGTCTGGGGCCTCAAGGACTGATTTTCACTCTCTCAGCACTTTTTACCTTTGGTATTTTCTCACCCCTAATTCAGTCTAGATTTTATTGACACAAGTCACTGAGTGAGTAACAGTAACAGAATTACATTTTACTGGGTTTTACGTTGTATACTAACATTTTCGATGTTTAACTTTGTTTTTCTCAAAACACATTTTTTCACCACTATTTGTTTGCATATGCCGTTTTTTTTTTCTCCACCATTTAAAATTTTTTTCTTGCACAGGGACTTGAAATTTGGCATGTAGTTAGAATAATAGTTGGTACTTGTAGTGGTCTGGTTAGTTCTTTTACGTCTGGCTTTAGAATTGTTTTTACTTTTTTTTTCATGCCAAAAATATTTTGTAAAGATCAAATTCAATATCCCAAACTTTAAGAACAGTTTTCGATACTTTGTAAGAATAGTATCTAAAATCAAGATAACCAGCTCCAAGCACCTATTTATTTGTGACATTTTGCCAGTTAAAGAATTTTTTAAAGTAAAAAACTGTAGAAATGGTGGAGAAAAAAACACTGTCTATCCAATTTTCAAAATGGCCGCCGTTTCCATGGCAACAGCTTACGTAATCGAGAGTGTCAACAGTTGAACATGAATCTTTTTTCTCATACCTACTGCCTGTGACAAAAATTGTTTCAGTTTGTCTCTTGGTAAAAATGTTGTCCCGTGAGTATCGAGCCCCTCAATTATAAATACATACATAAACACACACAAGATATACATTCATAAATATACAATATTAAACCAGTGAAGATCAATTTCACAACCATCCCATTGCTGGTCGACACTTTTAAAAAAACATTATGTGAAGTGTTTTACAGCGCTGGCAACTGCATAAGGTCATAATATTATGAACTCGCGGGACACACTCGATATTTTCAGTTGGTAGGAAATTTTGAATTTTGCACGCGTGGAAGCCGAAGCCTACTCTTATCTATTTTTGACCACCAAGGGATCTTTAACGTGCAACGGGACCCCCGAGATCACGGGTGTTTTGTTTGTTTTTGTAAAGTGTTTTACGGCGCTCGCAACTGCATAAGGTCATATGAGCGCGCGGGACACACCTAATATTTTC